AATATTGCTTAAACTTAATGAAAAACATCTTCACCAGAAGCATCAAAATAAACAAACCCCACATCACTCCAGTAGTCATGAGAGAAGAGATGTGAATGGAAGTTATGTCTCATATGCATAGAAGGTCAAAATAGGATTTTAAAAATTTTAAATGAGTTCATATGTTAAGCTGAAATGATGGAGGGTATTTTCAAGTTTAGTGGGCTAACTCATAAAGTATATTTAAATTTATTTGAAAAACGTAGATATATATGTTTAAATTAATTTATGAAAACTCAGGGTATGTTTAATTCTTTTACCCATAAAACTTTTACGGTTGTTGGAAAGTTTGGGTAGCAGATTTATGTATGACAACTTGTAGAAAACAATTTATGAAAACTCAGGTATGTTTAATTCTTTTACCCATAAACCTTTTACGATCACATTACAATGTCTTGTTGGAAAGTTTGGGTAGCAGATTTATGCATGACAACATGTAGAAAACAAAAGCTAAGAAATACAGCTTTAGCCCATGAGATTCAAAACTCTTGTATGATCCAATCTGTTAGCATCATGACATATGGACGAACTCGATCGGCCTGCTGTATGTTTGCTTGAGTGGTCTCGGGCCTCCTGGCCTTTGCTGCATGAACAGAGTCATGATAAAAGGAATGGAGCTATCAAGAAAACAGCGATACATAAATAGGACTATGCATGGCTTACTAGTTCAGTGTGTGTGAAAAGTGGTCATGTTCATCATCTTGATTTTGCCATGAGGGGATCTATCTCTTCTCGTATTTCGTGAGTCTGAGAATCCCCAACTGTTCCTCCATTTGTTGTTAGAGAATTGGATTCAGTGTTGTTGACTGTTGATACCATTCCTGGGCCTAAACCCATATTCAGTCCAAACAACTTGCCCCTTGCAAATGGTCATCTTTAATTTACGATTTACATCAAATAAATGATTTAACGATTCCTCCTCCGACCAAAGAGAACATGTGGTCTCCACTCTCCAGAGTCCAGACCCTGTTTGTTGCTCCATGTATTCTACCAACTCTGTAACTGAAGTCCCAACTATGGATTCTGCTGCAGATTCACCAAACTGCCATAGAAAGCATTCCTGGGTTGTTTGATCATGACAAATTGCAAATAGAACTTCAATACATGAGAGATGGGAGCTGGTATTATGGACAACGTACAGGACAAGAAATCTTAAGAATTTCTACATTAGTAACACAGGGGGCCTAAAAGAATTGAACGTTTTTCGAATAATTGGTCATATGAGAGCTAGAACCAAGTCTTAGGGATCTATTCGAACTCTTGGGATATGTTTGTTTTGAAGGAAAAAGTAGGGAAGGAAAGAAAATACAGGAAAACTTATACAAAATTTGTAAAGGTTTCTCTGCATTTCCCTTTCTTTCCCTACTTTTTAAATAGGAACTGTGGCTGCTGGTGCCTGGGAATATCCTATCCTAGCTCCAACTCGTATACGCAATTGAATCAGTTTCATCAACCAAGGATAAGTGAATAACAGTTTCTCCCTTCTATAAGATTTAATATTAGCTGGTTCTGTTGCTAAACCTTAACATACTAAAGGCCATCATTGATCATTGTGAATTCTATTTGAATATATTGTGCTGGCTAGCCCTGCCAAAACCTCACACTTGATGTGAAGCCTTGGCTTTCACAATTATCCAGTACCCACCACTGAACATAGAAATTCTGATCACAAGTGAACCAAACCGATTGTTTCACGAGACATTTCAACAAGTTGCGGAGTTGGGAGACAAAAAAAAAAACTGGAAAAATTAAACAGAGGGCGAGAGACAAAGATGCTGCTTGGCAAGTCTTTCTAACTAGATCTTTCAATAGACCACTAAACTTTTTGGAGCTGATCTTAAAGACTAAGATTCTTTAGTATATTCGACTGTTAAAAATGGATCAGAAGGATATTTGAAGCAAGGAAAGACCCAAAGCTTTATTTAAAGCTTATTTTGATTTTTGGCCATACAATATTTTTCATGTGTTCTATAGGTGGACATTCTGCTAATTAGATAGTTCCATTTAATCTAATATGGGGTTAAACCCATATATATCCACATGATTGAAACAAATCAGAAGCCGCAAGATGCAAGGATTAAGGTGCGAAATATCTGATTCAAGGATTAAGGTATTGATACGATACGATACCCCGTATTCATGGTCATGGACACAAGATATGACATGACTGTATATGAATCTCACGAGTCGTGCATATCAGCATGATACTCTTCTGTATTGGGCCGTATCGCACCGTATCGATAGATATGGTCCAAAGTTCAAAATGTAATTTTATGATATTTATATCTTAAATTGTAATTATTGTTAATTACAGCTTAAAAATCATTTAGTTACAATTTAAAAATAATTAGTGTTAATTAATTTTAATTAAAATATAATTACTGTTAATTAATAAATACATTATTTCTAAAAAAATAATATTTACTAAGACTGCTTTTCAGTGAATACTGTAATTATTAAAATACTGAATTGTTAATAATACTGTAATTATTAAATTAATGTATTTATTGAAAAATTATAATTAATGTTAAATACAGTTAAAAAATAATTACTGTTAACTTATACTGTATAATGCACTGTTAATTTAAAACACTGTATAATAAATATATTATACTGTATGATGCACTGTTAATTAATACTATTTTTTAATAAATATTGTTAATTATTTAAAAATACTGTAATTATTAAAAATACTGTTAATTAATAAATACATTACTGTTAATAAATACTGTTAAATGTAATTTATTACAGTTTAAAAAATAATTACTGTTAATTAATAAATACATTATTTTTAATGTATTTATAGAAATTTATTAAAATACTGTAATTATAAAAATAATTAATGTAATTATCAAAATACTGTTAATTATTAAAATAATTTAGTTATATTTTTCAAATACTGTTAATGAATAATAACATACTGTTTTTAATAAATATAGTATTTTAATAAGTTTTGTAATAAATAAAAATACTGTAATTATAGAATATACAGTATTTATTAAAAATATTGTAATTACTGAAAACACTGCATTTATTAAAAATACGGTTAACTACTAAATACTGTTAATTAATACTTGTACTTAGTAAATACTATATTTAACAAATACTATTAGTTATTGTTAATTACTGTTAAGGAATTAACAGTAATAAATTATGTTGTATTAACAATAATTAATTCATTAAAAGTAATTAACAGTAATTAATTATTGTTAATGTTAATCAACATTAAATTTGTTGACATTAACTGTTGTTAATGTTAATCAACATTAATTATTGTAATTAACCGTGTAATGCACGGTTGGTGCGAACCGTCCCTAACACGGTTCGGGTTCGGATGTACCCGATATTCTATCAAAAATGGGTCGTGAAAAAACCCGTTTTTGTTGTCTTCTTCCCTCGATGGAACGGGTTCTGCGATGACCCTGATATTTTTTTTTTCATTTTTATTGTTTTTTTGCTGTTTTCTCTACTTTTTAATGAGTCGATTTTATTTTTGATACTCAGCATCAGAAAAACACTTAATAATGCACTCAATAATGCAAAAAAAAATACCTAATCAAATCTGTTTTTCGCAAAAAAAAAAAAAAAACCTAATATGTACCTGGTCTGAGCAAGTAAATTGGAGAATGCAAAATAATGCTGATATGCTTGACTGAATTCAAATCTGAGACCTGAGTAAAGTCAGATTGAAAAAAATAAAAGAGAAAACATGCTGGGAGTCCAAGGGATTTTGTAGAAAAAGCTTGGAAGTCCAAAGTTCCTAGGCTTCCTATAAGATTAGATTTAATGGGAAATTGATCAGGTGGCTGGGATGAGCCCTGGAAGTCCAAACTTCCTAGGCTTCTATAAGATTGGTTGTGAGATGACTACGTGGATTAAAAAATTAAAAAAAAATAAAAAATACAGAAAAATAGAATGGAAGGTTTTCTGCAACTAGAGGGCTGTTGACATGTATATATATATAGAGAGAGAGATAGATAGATATATGATGCCATCATATACGCTTTAGGTTGAAATCTCAACATACATTTCAGCAATGGTAGGTAAAGTTAGTTGTCTTTTGTGGGTCAATAGGATACCTACTAAATTTCATGGAGTCTCTTCTTGGGTAAGGGTAGCTTTGTGAGGTGGCATTGTTGTTTATTTGCTTACCCAGCCATTCCTTATTAAAAACTAACTTTTACTAATTTCGTAACCCCGTCTCTTTGCTTAAATAGAATATCAGTCGCCAGACTGAAAGATAAATTCAGAGAAAGAGAGAGAGATGGCTTTTACAACAGTCAATGGCTTAGCTTGTATACTTATCTGATGGTGGTTAACGATAACTTCACTGATATGAAATGAAGCGCACACTTGTGTTTATTGGTTTATAAATTAATATATGTTCTTCTAGAGTGTGAGACCTTCTCAAAGAGAACCCCGAATTCGACAATGGAAATGGGTCAGATATCTTCTGGTTTTATGACGTTTCACGTTGGAGACGTTTGACGTGTTTTGTAGCTTTGCAAAGGTCAAGATCCCCATTTAATTCACTAATGAGCTCTTCTAATTCGAGAAGGTGGTCGTTTTCATATTTCTATTTCGTGCCCAAGTTCTCTACAACCAACTCATTTTAAATTAATATACTGTTGATCCTGTTTTAGCTAACTGGGCTTATAATATGTATAGGAACAACATTTATATATTTTACTCAATTACACCAGCGCTCTCTCTCTCTTTCTCTCTCTCTCTAATTAAGTGCACATTTAACATTAATTAGAAGACTGTAACCACCACTTAATCTGGATCCAACTTAGCATAACGCTACACATGCAAATCCATACCAAGGTGTTTAATCTTAGCATTTTTGTAGATCTTCCATCATATATAGTAAGTTTTGAATACCCGTATGAGAATTTAATTGATCCGATGGATAGAATCATATTATATAGCATATGAGGAATATCAAAGTAGACAAAAGATAGAGAAAGAAGAAATGATTCATGCATCAATATTGAATCAAGTATAATCTTTTTGCACAATATCATAAAATAAAAGAAACCATGAATGAACACCTATTATCTTTTGGAAGTGACAATTAATGGTTTACTATTTTATCTACAATTATTCCTTCAGCTCCCAATGTAATCCCTAAGAAAGCGCGTGATAGGTCGATGAAACGAGTCCAAATCTCTTGCCCACAAGAATTCTGTTCACGGCTACCCACATAACATCGCAGTCATACCTAAAAAAACATCTCATTCTCATCTTCTTACATAGTATTAAGCAGGGAAGAAGGTAGTGTGTTGTGGGTAGACGTGGGTAGAGTTGTTGTGGACAGGAGATCAGGAGTCAGTCCCGATGAAACTGGCCAAGCCGGTGAACCTCATTAGCTGCAATTCTGCAAAATGAAATTGACCTGTTAGTCCATCCGCAGAAACAAACGTATATGGTACTAAAGACCAAAAAAAAAAGCATAGGACTGGCGTGGCGGATTTACGTATCAATGTATGAAAACATAACTCGACTCTAGTAATTAATCACTGGCTTCATGATGATCATCCTGCAGATTAATTTCTCCCCAGGTGTCAATCAGGATGGATGAGTTGATGGGCATGTTCTTTTTTTCCATTTCAATGGAGGCCGAAACCAATGGAGGAATGGTGTCCAAGGCAGCTGGATCAATATATGAGTTGATCAAGTTGTTATCACCCATGTTATGTTCACTGTTGATCAATGGTGAGCTTAACCCTCCAAAGTAAACTGAGTTATCAAGGATCTGGCTATGGTTGGATGGTTGTTGGATCCCCAAATTTGCCAAGTTGGAAGGCAAGTAAAGGCCAGGACAAGGAAGGTTGTTAGGAACAACTTGTGGGTTACTCGGTAATTCTTGTGGATGAATACTCTGATGATATCCTTGTGGGTGACTCTGAAATCCTTCTGGTGGGTTATTTATAAGTCCTTCCAAATGATTGTTGTTTGGTTGGAGGTATTCAGCGTGGTTGAATCCCAGAATGGGAGCATTTGCCGAGAGACTATCTGCAGCCAGATTTTGAGGCACGCTGCTCTCAGTGGCCTGAAGTAGTTGCTGCAACAATTGGTTTCTGGCTAGCTGTGCCACCTCTTCCTGTAGCCTGAGAGCATTGTCCAATGGTTTCATCATCATACTGTTGAGGTTTGCGACAGCAAACAGCTGAGATAGATTTGCAAAGAGGTCGGGATGATGATCAGTTCTTGGTCTGTGGGTTACTGGGTCAATACCCGAGTTGAGGAGTTTCTTCTTCAGATGGGTGTTCCATAAATTCTTGATCTCATTGTCCGTTCTTCCTGGTAGATGGCTTGCGATCGCAGACCACCTGCGAGAGCCCAGAATAATGACAAGAGTGGATTACACTGATTAACCAAAGCTCGCTAATTTAGTTGAGAAGTTTCTTCCCATATATAACCGTTTTTTAAGAGTAGAGACATATGTATGAATAAAATTAACCAAGGAAAGATTACTTATTTCCAAGAGCTGAATGAAGGTTGATGATGACTTTCTCTTCCTCTTGGGAGAACTTTCCTCTCTTGATATCAGGCTTCAAATAATTAGTCCACCTCAGTCTGCAACTCTTTCCACATCTGTTCAATCCTGCAAGCTTGGGGAGGGCTCTCCAGCTTCCATGCCCATTCTGCTTGATGTATGCTATCAGCTTCTCATCTTCCTCTGGCATCCATGGCCCTTTCTTTAAACCGCTTTCATCGTAACAAGAAGACCTCCCCATAATACCTGCAAATTAAAGAAGATCAATTTTCGAGACGATGCAAAATGTTAATTCTAAATGGATATAACTGGATGCCGAATTGCTGATACATATATTAATTGCAGTAGTTGAGATCGATACCATGGGAACAGCCAAACAAACAAGCTAGCAAATAAGGAAGTTAAATATTGAACCTGAGAGATTAATCTGAGCTTAGGCTATCAGGCTATGGCTAGAAGAGCATTAAGGGGAGGTGTGATTAATTTGTAGGAAAACCCTGGAGAGCTGGATGCTTTTATAATGTGGATATGTATGTGAAAATAAGAGGGTTGTTTCTGGAAGGTGCACCATGATTAATTATTAACTTAATTACAGACGTCCTCCTCACCTATGGTGACATGGTAAATGATAATTGGACACGTGGGCTGTCATCTCAGCGGCCACGTGTTTAATAGAACTCAATTTATTGTACCCTAATGATCCAACTCTAAGGAGAATACCTTCCTGTTCAAGATCATGAAGGGTGTTTTGATGATAAACTGATCTGTCTTTATTATTATTTAATTTGTAAAAGGATAAAATTGATTTTTGTCTGTGTACACTCTTCTCTTCTTGGACAGGGCAATTAATAAGAATTACTTTTTGTTGTCGCTACTTCCAAGGCAGCAAATTAAAGGATGTAGGAGGAGACAGAGGAACCGTCAGCAATTATATATGGATAGGCCCACTTGGCAGGTCATAAGAGGGTCAAATGGGCCGGGTTCAATTTCTTAAGAGAGACACGAAGGAGAAGAAGCCACCTACTTTGGTTTCTGTTACCGTCATCGTCTACAGTGAAGCATTCCAAGACACGCAACAATTACAAATCTGGTTTTCTTTCTTGGATTGGATTGGATGGGGTCCATCAAGCCCTAACCACACCCTTACTCCACCTAGCCAGTTCCTAACGATTTTCTAATTATTAGAAAATTGCACGAGTCATTTACGGGTGTGGATCGATGCATTTTCATTTATTAGTCAATTTTCTTTATTATATTTATCAAGTGGGGGAATTTCTGTTTTATTTTAGTTGACTCTGAAAATGATTGAATGCTGCCATTAAAAATTAAGACCAAGAGAGGTAGGATTAGTTAATGAGAAGAAAAGGAGAAAATCAAACAAAGAAAAGCATGCATTTTCCTTTATATGTAGACTAACTATGTGTGTAATCTCAAATCCAAGAAAGTAATTTAAGCTAGTTGCATGCATCTTCTTATAATCAAGGTTTTTAAAACTGGGCCGGATAGGGAATCATTTTGGGGACCGGCTCCTGGGTCAAGCACTTTAACCATCTGATTTGATGGATGAACCATTCTGACTTAAAAAATGGCCAAAAACTATTATTTGGGTTCATAATTTGACGGTTCAACTGCTCAAATTACTAATCAAATCAATGATTTTTAACCAAAAATATTTAGGGTGAAACAAAACTAATTATCTAATCGATTTTTGGGTTTTCTGATCTGATTCGATTTTGAAAACCATGCTTATATTTAACATCGGTACCTAGTCTTCAATTGGTATTTATCCTTGTTAACCAACATATAAGAAGAGGAAAGGGAAAAGAAAAATGGAATCATTGTTAACCAACATTTGAAGTTTAATGGAAGCAGCCTAAGGGCTTAAAAAAAAAGTCTTGAGTTGAAAGTTGAAATCGATCGTACAGATATTTGTGCAAATAGACATCACGTAAATATTAAAAAATAATATTAGGGAAATTTATATAGAAAAAAGATGGATAAACATGATAAAATACTGTAGATGGAAGTTCGGGTTAGAATTGAGAAGAGAGGAGGTGGAGCCATGTTGGATGGAAGCCGTCAAAGAGAATCTCAGAGGCTGTCATCGTATCAATTAATCTCTGTCTTATATTTTAGCAGGCAATAATTGTGTTTATATCTCTAAAGACTGAAGTTATTATATATGACCACTTTTTTATTCAGAGTACGTAAAGATGCCTTCTTATCTCATGAAATATGTACTTCTATTCCTTCCCCAATGAATTGAAACGGTCTCATGTTATATAGGTCATATGTATATGTAGGGGTGTCAATGGATCGGATTTGGATCAGACTTCATCAAATCTAAAATTAATTTGGACGGATTAGATGGATCAAGAGGACATATTGGATTAGATTAATCCATTCAAAATATTTATTATATTGGATTGGACTTGGTCCATCCATAATAAATATATATTGGATTGGGTTAGATTAAGCCAATATCTAGTCCATTGATTTGAGATAAAAATATATGTATTATTGGATCGGGTTTGGGTTGAAACCAATCTAAATCAAAATAAATTTGAACAAATTGGATAGTTCAGACATTGAATTAGACCAGTCCAAATTAGTCCAAAACATTCATTGGATTGGGATAGACCTAGTCCATTTATAATGAACTCACATTGGACCAGAATGGATTAGACCAAATCCAGTCCAATTGACACCCCTAGTCATATGGCATTGACTTTATGTCTGAAAAAAAATAACCGGGTACAACACATTTGAGCAGTCTGGTTGTCATCTCTGATTTACTTAATTTCATATAGATTAAGGTCTCTGAATTGCATACAGTGAAATCATTTCTTAGGTAGTCATTTGGGAGATTTCAAAAGTAAATTTTTACGTATCAAAACCCATTTTGATAGACAATTTAATTTTAAAACCTACTAGAAACATATACAGTTATTATCTTACGATGCACAATTTAGGCAAAGAATCTCTTGATGAGCTGTGTCAATGATATTTAATTATGCATAAAAAGATAAAACAAAATTTAAATTTGTCAGACATCAATTTGTAAATCCGAGGATGGCCAATGAAAGGGGTGATCTAGATCTAGATGCCGAAATCGACACTTTTCTGCTATTGCAATAACCAACTATCATTATGTGTTATCAGAAGATTTTATAGAAGATGAAGTTAGTACTAATTTTTTTTTTCAAAACCTACTAATATACGCATCGTCAAAAGTTCAACACCCTTCGATAATATATGCATGGTTCATATATAGGGATAATCAAATAAACCCCGGTCCAATGCTTGGCTCATCTGGCCTGGAATTTTTATGTACAGCTAGAGATAGAGTTTTCATCTAGGCCCACCTTGGCCTGTATCTTCATTAACAATTGATGAGGCTATTATATTTATGGTGAAATCGGATTTGATTCTTATAGGACCGTATTTATATCGTTTTTACAGTCGTTTGCAGTCTTGCATTAGAAAAGTCTCTCCATAAAAAAAACATACAAATATAGAAATATTCTAAAAAAGGCTGCGATGTGAGCATGATCTCATTTATGGTGGAGGTGGAAGGAGACAGCTCTATTTTTATGGTATGTATAGGAGGAAATTCTGGTATCAATGTTCATCAAACTTCATAAAGATAATTTTAACCAATCCATAGGGTTATCTTCATTAATTATAAGCAGTGGTGAATGGTGATCACAACTTTTAACTTTACAACAACTTATAACACATGGAAATAAAGGCTGCTCTGTTACTTTAAGTTCTTTAGTTTTATTACGAATATTCTATTTCTCAAACCGAAGACAGAATGCTAATTAATAGCCACTGCTCTGTTACTTTAAGCAGTGGTGAATGCTAATTAATACTAACTAATAGCTACTAGTTGATCTGGCAAAAAGTTGACCCAATCCGCAAATCTGACCCAAACTTGTTTAGAAAAAACAGGGTTAGAGTCTCATAATTAGTTACCTGAATGACATGAACCAATCCAACCTAAAAAAACTGGGTTGGGTTGGGTTATGGATCAACCCACTGATCTGATTGTCAGGTCTAATTGGGACTATTTATGTATTAGAAATTTCCACTCTTTAATCTTTAGTCTTTATTGTTTAATCTTTGAATTGTTGAATGTTCATTTTTTTTTATTTTATGTTTAGGATTTTAAGGTTAATTCTTTATTTTTTGACATTTTTCATGTTTTTCTTTATTTTTTAAAATTCTAGTTATTTTTAGGGATAACCCGAATTGATTCGTCGGTCAATCCTAACCCGAACATTTAGAGTTAGAGTCTAGCATTTGCCAATTCAACCCAAAATTCAATCTGACCCAAAATCAACTCAAAGCATCTTAACCCAACCCAATTGCCAGCTGGTCTAACTACTAGCTAGCTTTACATGTTTGAAGATATTGGGGTTTCAACCTAACACGTAAGACCCACAATTTTGTCAAGGTGGTTACGTCTGCTTAAGTAAATAGATATGCATGTTTTTTTGCTACTAATAGAGAATAAATACGTTGGTTTCATATTAACCGTCTCTCGTTTTTTCCCTAAAATGTTATTCTTATTGGCAACTTTGTCTACTAACTGATGAGAAAAGATAGAATCAAGTTGATCCGATAAGGGTGTTAGACAGTTTTTGTATGCCCTTAGCTTCAACCAGAATGATGTACTTTATGAGTTTATTGTAAATGAATAAAGATACATATTTGATTCATGTTCCCTTGGTATGTTTC